ACACTTCATATCATCAATAAGTTAACTGAATCAGTCACTATATGAGTCTGATTTTTTTGTCCTTTCAAAGTATTAAAAGTCTTATGACCAGGGGCGCCTGGGTAGCTCAGTCATTAAGCGTCTGCCTTCGGCTGGGGTCATGGTCCCAGGGCCCTGGGATGTAGCCCTGCATCCGGCTCCCTGCTCCGTTGGAAGCCTGCTTCTCCCTCTCCCACTTCCCCTGCTTGTGTTCCCTCTCTCGCTGGTCTCTCTCTGTCAAATAAATAAATAAAATCTTAAAAAAAAAACAAAAAACCCCCACCTAGCTAGGGTACAGTTACATGATGGAATAAGTGAAATAATATACTTACAAATAAAATATATACTGTATTTTGGTCTCCGGAGCTCTTGAATCAGATAATCCACATTCTCCTAGAAAGGAAACAACAAATAAATAATATGTAAGAACTGTTTAAGTGAAAAAATAATAAATACTGTTCATTGATTTATTTAAGTATTTACTGAGAGTCTACTGAGTGCTGAGGTCTAGATTTAAGTGTATGTTGTGGGGATGAGGGCTGAAGGTGAAAAAGAGATACATTAAATATAATGATCAGGAATCATCTATAATATTAATGAGCTGCATTACCTTGGCCAAATTAAGATTTAAAAATATTAAAAATACAAATGTTGAAGTATAACATAAAACTGAAAATAATTCTGCAAATTTGCCTCAGGCTGCTTATCTATAAATTATTCATCTAATCAATATTCTTAGATAGAATATCAAAATGCATCTAGTTCTTTAAAAACCAACATTCAAGAAAAAATACACTTAATTGTATTCACTTTGGCTTTTAACTTATTGGTACCTAAGACTGTACAATTGTAATGTTTGTAAAGTATTTGCAAACAGCAGGCTAAGACCTTTCATATAATTACATTATTTAAAAACAAAATATGGGGGCCCCTGGGTGGCTCATTCAGTTAAGCGTCTGACTTGTGATTCTGGCTCAGGTCACGATCTCATGGGTCATGGGATCAAGCCCAGGGTCAGGCTTCACACTCAGCGGGGAGTCTGCTTGGGGTTCTCTTTCTCCCTCTCCCTTTGCCCCTCCCCCCACTCACATTTTTCTCTCAAATAAAATAAATAAATCTTAAAAAAATAAAAATGAAATATTAAATTTAGAAGTAAAAAAAGTTGATTTTTATATGGTCAAAACATAAGAATTTCAATTACATAAGATCATAATGCAGGTTTTATCTATTTTTGATACTATTAACACATAGTTAAATTTCAATATGAATTTGGTCCCCAGTCTAAACATGATATGAAATACAGTTTTGAACGTTTAAAAAAAATCATACATTTCCTAAAAGAACTAAAAATAATATAAGCAATACATATTGCTTGTTAAATGGGAAAAAGGTTTTTTAAATTGTCATTTAGATTAAAAAAATACATTAAAATTAACTTTATAACATAATCTTAAAGAAAAATCGTTTTTTAAAAAGATTTATTTATTTATTTGACAGCGAGAGAGACAGCAAGAGAGGGAACACAAGCAAAGGGAGTGTGAAAGGGAGAAGCAGGCTTCCTGCCGAGCAGGGAGCCCGATGTGGGACTCGATCCCGGGACCCTGGGATCATGACCTGAGCCGAAGGCAGACGCTCAACGTCTGAGCCACCCAGGCGCCCCTTGTTTGTTTTTTTAAAGATTTATTTATTTATTTGAGAGAGAGAGAATGAGAGACAGAGAGCACGAGAGGGAGGAAGGCCAGAGGGAGAAGCAGACTCCCTGCTGAGCAGGGAGCCTGATGCGGGGTTCAATCCCAGGACCCTGGGATCATGACCTGAGCTGAAGGCAGATGCTTAATGGCTGAGCCACCCAGGAGCCCCAAGAAAAATCATTTTTAAGAACACATTTTATATATATATACATATATATATATATATAAAGAGGTTCTCTAATGAAAATTATTAGGAAATGATGGACTAGATGATCTCTAAGATCCCTCTCAGCACCAAACTTTCATGAGCTACAAACGTGAAAAACTGGAAATGACTGTAACACAGTATTAATGTATTCATTAATTCAGGAACTATTTATTGAGGTCCACCATGTAGCAGGCACTGGAGACATAACAGTGTGAAAAAACAGATACCATCTCTACTTTCATGGAGCTTACTGCTGGTAGTTGAGACAGATATTAATCAAACCATATAAAACTTCAACTACGACAAACAAAAGGGAGAAGAAGATGGTGCTGTAAGTGCTTATAAGAGGGGGGTGTGACTTGGACAGCAAAACCAGGGAAGATTTGCGGGAGGAAGTAAAGAAGTTCCAAGCAGAGGGAAGCGCCTGCGCAAAGGTCCTGTGGCATGATGGAACAAAGTGAACTGAAAGATTAATGTGGCTAAGAGCAAAAGGGGGAATGGTTTGAAATAAGGCTGTAGGAATGACAGGAACTAGACCATACAGAACCACAATTAAGGAGTTTTGCCTTTAGCATAAAAACAATGAGAAGTCATTCAAGGATTTCAAGTGGGGGTGACATGATCAGATTTGTATTTTAAATTTTTTTTTTTTTTAAGAATTTATTTATTTGACAGAGAGAGATACAGCGAGAGGAGGAACACAAGCAGGGGGAGCAGGAGAGGGAGAGCAGGCTTCCCACAGAGCAAGGAGCCCGATGCGGGGCTCGATCCCAGGACCCTGGGACCATGGCCTGAGCCGAAGGCAGACGCTTAACGACTGAGCCACCCAGGCGCCCCCAGATTTGTATTTTAGAAAAAATATAATACACAAGCATGATAAAAGAGTGCATTGGAGTTGAAGATCATGAATATAAAGAGAATATACAAAATAAGGTTGAAATAGTATAGGAGTTTTATAGGAAGACTCAAGCTAGATTTGGAAAATGATGGATGAAAATGGACAGAAGGCTAAAGAACCTTTAATTAGGGGAAGAGAACGAATAGAGAAGAGAAATGAGCATGTAGAGGGATGATAAAAAGGTGCAGTTGGCAATAGTGGAGGAGCAGAGATTGGACATAGGAGGCTGGATACATAAAGGCAGACCAAACCAGCTAAAGGAGGGATTTAAGGACTGGGCTACTAAAGATTGATTTAATCATGGAAGTAAAATTGAGCCATTATATGTTCCTGTGCATAGATATGAATAAAATGATACAGACTCAAGATATTGGTGTAGGTGCATAAGTATATAAGATTAAGCAGCAATGGTGTTCAGTGTGATAGGTATGGATGTTAATTCAGGAATTAAGTGATGTGGGTCTCTGCTAGGATAGTTAGTGGCTTGGGAAATAGCTGGGAACCTAAAAGGCATCTTGGAGGAAAAACTGTAAGGAGTAAACTGAGATGTGGAAAGCAGGAGAATCAAGGTTATAACTCTGATGAACCAGGTTAATTATGATACCATAAATGATAATACAAATTTATTTTGCTTTCTTTTTTTTTTTTTAAGATTTTATTTATTTGACAAAGAGAGACACAGCGAGAGAGGGAACACAAGCAGGGAGAGTGAGAGAGGGAGAAGCAGGCTCCCCGCTGAGCAGGGAGCCGGATGCGGGGCTTGATCCCAGGACCCTGAGATCATGACCTGAGCCACCCAGGCGCCCCTTATTTTGTCTTCTTAATGCTTTCTTTTTTTTTTTATTTATTTGACAGAGAGAGACACAGCGAGAGAGGGAACACAAGCAGGGGGAGTGGGAGAGGGAGAAGCAGGCTCCCCGCAGAGCAGGGAGCCCGATGCGGGACGCGATCCCAGGACGCTGGGATCATGACCTGAGCTGAAGGCAGTCGCTTAACCAACTGAGCCACCCAGGCGCCCTGTTTTCTTAATGCTTTCATATCAGAGTGTTCTGTATTTGCCTGGGCAAATGACAGCTCAGTACCTACCTTCGTAGGACGAAGAAAACAAATTGCTTTCAGGTGTTTCATGATCTCTCGATTTTGAGAATCAATGCGTTCAAAAAGGTACACTTCCTTCTGAAGAATCTCTGATTGTGTGTATACCATACTCACTATGCCAGTCTGTAAAGAAAAAGATTTAACTAATATTATGCTAGTCAAAAATAATATAAACAATCAGCAACATCTAAGACTTAAAATTTTTTTCATTAATACTTAGCTGGATAATGTAAATATTAAGATATGTAACATTTACTGAGCATCCAGAACATGTAGGTAATGTACCAGGATGAAAAGCATGTTCTCTCTGAACACAATCAATAAATTTCAAAAAGAAATTTTTTCCATCACCTTAGAGTGTTTTTTTTTTAAATAAATCTGTGACCAACAAATAATAATCTGTTATCTCAGCTTGAGCACTAACAGCTTTATTTTAAAAACACAACGGTGACTGGAAATAAAAGTCTTCCAAATGTTCTGTCTCACATATTATTTCTTGCCAAAGACATTTAGAAAAGGACTTCTGATTCCAATAAATTGTTCCGGGTAGAAGAAAGCTCTGGTGGTAGTTAGAGCCATTTACACTGAAAACCTGCTAGACAAGCTTTATACGACCTCTCAGTTCCACACAGCACTGACCCTCGCTTCAAAATCTTTAATTAAATACCAAATCTTACAGTGGAGTGGGAGTAGCTATTATAAGGGAGGGAGAGGTTCCTCACAAACAAAATACGGAGCAAAAGCAAACTCACCGTCTCTTTATCCATGAGGAGTACTTTCATACCCGGTCCGCTGTCCTCTATCATTTTGGAAACGTACTGTTTCACAGCAAAAACCACGTTCATGGTGGCGAATTGACAGGTTAACCCTACAGCCCTTCCCGCCCCCTTTTCTCTTGCTAAATTAACCCCCGGCCTTTTGGCCGGGTCTCAGCGGCTTCCTCCCCGCCCGGCTTCGGCTTCCGGAAGTCCGGGCAGCTCCTACGGTGCTGGGAGTTGTAGTTCCGCTGCGCGGAGCCGGCGACCGAGCCTCCTGGCTGAATGGAAAAGTCCGGCTGAGACCCCCCCCCCCCCCCTCCCGCCCCGGGTCGCAGCGCTCGGAAGTGATTCTCTACCACGTCCAGCCTGGAGCTGTTTGAGGCCCGGACTCAGACCCCGGCGGGCCGTGGGTCCGGGGTGCCCCGGCTGCCCCCGAAAGCCTCTCCTGCTGGCTAGGGGAGAGACTAGCCGCTCGCGGCGTGGAGGAACTTGGCATCAGGCTGGCGTGGAGGCAAGAACCGCAGAGTGTAGCCGTGGTCACTATTTGCCATTAACACTTTCTTGGGTGGCAAGTGAAGGATTAAGGGAAGAGAGCTGGCGTGATGGCTCCCGGCCGCTCGGGAAGGTCTAAGAGATGGTCGAGATTCGTCCCCCCCCGTTTCATCGTGTCATTGACAAGGCGAGGACAGTACTCCTGCAAAGTGAGGCCCGAATTGGTTTTCTGAATGCCCTTGAGGGATGTTTTGGGAGCGGCCTCAGATCCGCTCCCCGGGAGGGCTGGGAGCTGAGTCGGCAGCGGGGACTCGCAGGGCGCGTGAGGGACCCCGGGTTCGGCGCCCCGGGCGACCGGACTCCGCGGGCTCCCGCTGAGCGGGTACGAGGGACCCGCGGCGCTGAAACTTTGGGCAGGAGCCCAGTTAGTCAGAAATGGGTAGGGGGCACGTATCCGGTGGGGCTAAAGCAAAGTAGCGTGGGGATTTTAAGGGAAAACTCACAAATTTTGATTTAAGAAACAAGAAAAACTTAGCCACAAAATGAGTCTTAAAACCATCAACTTCTAAATGTTTGCATTTGTGTTTAATAATCCAAAGGTCTTCTCTCCTTTATGCCATTTCTCGAAAAGGAGGGGAAATGTTAGTTTTCCCACACCTTTACGTTAGGGAATTGAAAAATCAGGAAGATAATAAGAAACAACTGCAAGAAATCAGCAACTATAATTGCTTGTAAATATTTCCACGAAAATAGTGACCAGTGTTTGTTGGGGTCACTTTAATCAATAGATTCAACATTACCAAATCATTCTTTCGTTATATTTTAAGAAGTACACAATTAAAACTAGACCCAGAGCACGTTAACATTAAACTGGCTATTAAGATTACTTTATAGGGCGCCTGGGTGGCTCAGTCGTTAAGCGTCTGCCTTCAGCTCAGGTCATGGTCCCGGGGTCCTGGGATTGAGCCCCGCGTCGGGCTCCCTGCTCGGCAGGAAGCCTGCTTCTCCCTCTCCCACTCCCCCTGCTTGTGTTCCCTCTCTCGCTGTGTCTCTCTCTGTCAAATAAATAAATAAAATCTTAAAAAAAAAAAAGATTACTTTATAAAACTTTATATACAATTATCAGGTCCTTTAAGGGAGCTCAGAAGCCACCTATCATAGATTTTTGTCACCTCTGAAATTGTGAGGAATGTGTTTATTTTCTTTTCAATTTTTCTACCGTGTAAATAAAACTTCCCATTGCGCTTTTTATCAATTTTTGAATTATGTTTTGAAAGTTATATTAAAATGAAAATGCGAACTTTAAATGGATACACGTGAGAAAAATCTAATTTATATAAAATTCTATTATTAACTTAAAATGTTAAGATTTAAAATATATTAATATATTTAAAATACATTACAATTTAAAATACGGAACCCAATGAACCAGTGAAATACCTGCAAATCCTGTAAGTTATCAATATTTGAAAATTCACCTCATTTAGACTTCAGTATAAGATTGTTTTCCACTTTATGCATTTTTTAGAAAAAACAAGGAAAGTCTTTTCTATGAAATTTGTGCTTTTTTAGACAGTAATCAATATGTAAATAATACTTTTATTTATAGTTGGACAATTATAACATTTTAGAGAAGGAAAATGCCTATTTTGACAAGGCTTAGTAATTCACTCCATTGCCCAAGAAGTTCCATTGATGTCAGTGGCAGTGATATTTTGTACGTTGATAAGATGCAGAATGTAAACATTCTGTACAAAATAGTTATAATTTAAAGAATGCTGTGATAGTCCTAAAGTTTGCAAGCCTATTGTGAGAAATAAATGAAATAATGTGCAGAAAAAATGTGCCTGGCACATACTAAGTGCTCAGTAAATAGCAACCTTATTTGTTTATTTTTAAAGATTTTATTTATTTGAGAGAGAGTGAGAGAGAGCACGAGTGCTAGGAGTGGGAGAGGGAGAAGCAGGCTCCCAGCTGAGCAGGGAGCCCACCTCGAGGGCTCTATCTCAGGACCCTAGGATCATGACCTGAGCCAAAGGCCCACGCTTAACCGACTGAGCCACCCAGGTGCCCCTCAGCTTTAATTATTTAAAATCAAAAGATACAGAAACCTGGGTGACTCAGTCGGTTAAGTGCCTGCCTTCGGCTCAGGTCATGATCTCGGAGTCCTGGAATCAAGTCCCACGTCCAGCTCCTCGCTCAGCGGGGAACATGCTTCTCCCTCTGCCTGCCGCTTGCTGTGCTTGTGCTTGCTCTTTCTCTCTGGCAAATAAATAAATAAAATCTTTTTTAAAAAAATCAAAAGGTAGATATATCTTTTAGCTTATTTTTTACATACAACATATTTTATTCCTCTTTGACAAGAAAATCTTAAAATATAATCAATTTCAGAATCTGTAAACTACAGTTTCTGAATATAATTTCTATAATATGTTTATCTTGCATTACTATATGATAATAGAAGTGTCGATGGGAAGAATTGGGCTGCTCCTTCATAATTTGTAAACCATATATTTTTCACAGAGGTAAAACTTAGGAAAAATATGCTTCAAGTTCCTTCAGAGGCTTAGTGATTACCCAACCTCAAATCAAACAGTTTGTTAAGCTTTTGTCACAGTTGGTGGTTTAATACTGAACTTTATGGTAGCAAAAACAATGAATTGCTTTAAACCATTAAGTAAAAATTATTTGCATGAAGGGTTCTGTCTGCACATTCAGTAGTTTGGGTGGTTTCATCTTTCTTTTTTTTTTAAAGATTTTTATTTATTTGACAGAGAGAGATACAGCGAGAGAGGGAACACAAGCAGGGGGAGTGGAGAGGGAGAAGCAGGCCTCTTGCTGAGCAGGGAGCCCGATGCGGGGCTCGATTCCAGGACCCTGAGATCATGACCTGAGCCGAAGGCAGACGCTTAACGACTGAGCCACCCAGGCGCCCCTGGTTTCATCTTTCTGATGGTGATACTAACTTTGATCACTTGGTTAGGTGGTGTCTGTGGGTTTCTCCACTGTAAAACTAATTTTCTCCTTGTAATTAATATATGCAAATAGATAAAGGGGATTAAGAGGTAAAAACTTGCAGTTGTAAAATAAACAAGTCACGGAGATGAAAAGTATAGCATAAAGAATATAGTCAACAATATCGTAATAATATTGTATGATGACAGATGGTGATTCTTATCGTTATGAGGGTTGAGGAATGTATAGAATTGTTGAATCAATATGTTGTACACCTGAAACTAATGCAACATTGTATGTTAATTATACTTCAATTTAAAAATGTATACCTAAAGCAAAAATAAATAAAAATATCACAGGGAGAGATTCCTTGATGTGCTGCAAATGTCCTATTTCTTCATTGTACTTGTTATACCTACTAATTTTAACTGGAATCCATTGATGGGTCTTGCCTGCAACCATTGGTGTTTACCTGATGGTAATTATTTTTCTCATTTCTTCTGCAGTTATTGTTTGGAATTCCTCTGTAAAAAAGAGCTATACTCTCCCCCCCCCTTTTTTAATTTATTCAATCATTTATTTATGTCAGACTCATGGATATTTAAGAAAATTACTTTTAAGTAGTAGGAAGGATATGTAGAGGTTGAGAGTGCCGCCTCTGAAATCAGGCAGCCTGGTCTGGATTCTGCTGAATCCTGGCTGCAGGACTTTGGCAAGTTACATAACCACTCAGTGCCTCAGTTTCCTCATTTGTAGAGGGAGAAAATAACATCTACCTCAGGCTGGGATGAGCATTAAGTGAGTTAATACGTGTAGTTGTTAGCCTAGCTTTAGTTACTTTTTCTTCGTGAGTATTTTTAACGGTTGTTAAGTTTTACTGTTTATAGGTTTCCCCACCTACAAACTGAGTATAAAAATACTTGACACAGGGGCGCCTGGGTGGCTCAGTCGGTTAAGCATCTGCCTTTGGCTCAGGTCATGATCCCAGGGTCCTGGGATCGAGCCCCGCATCGGGCTCCCTGCTCTTCCGGGAGCCAGCTTCTCCCTCTCCCTCTACCACTCCCCCTGCTTGTGATATCTCTCTCTCTCTCTCTAAAATAAATAAATAAAATCTTTAAAAAAAATTACTTGACACACAAATGGTAGCTGTGCTTGTGGTGAGCATAGCATAAGGTATAGACATGTTGATTCACTATGTTGTTCACCTGAAAATAACGTGTGTCAACGATACTCCCATTAAAAAAAAAAAAAAGGGAAGAACATCAGAGAAGAAAGAAATGAAGGTAAAATAGCAATGAACAAATACATTTTCATGTGCTTGCCTCCCTGAGAAATTATTAAAATTCACTTCTGAAATGAATTCAGAATTGTAATGTTAATGAGATGCATAAGTTCTTATTTCAAAAAAAAGATTGAACTAGAATTTTGCTAAGATCTCTTTTATGATCATAATGCTGTTCTTGAGTTACTCTCTGTGTTAGAAACATAAATGACCATGAAATGTGATGAAATTATTTTTAACATTTAGATGTTTCAAGAGAATAGGCAAGCCATGTTAAGTAAGTATCAGAAAATACATGTTCTTATAAATCCTTAAATTTCTTAGTGGTAAAGGAATTTTAATTATATTTTTATATTGAAATAATTCCTTTAGAAATGGCTCATTATTGACTTGATCAAGCATTGGATCAGGATTACTTGTTTTTCTTCACTAGAAAGAATAGTGTTAAAAAATAAGATACAAAATATTTTGTTTATACATCTATTTGAAACAAATTTAATGTAGGAGTTTATTCAGGATTTCTCTTAATATATTTTTAAAATTTTTTGTTTATTTATTAGTGGGGGGGGCGAGGAGCAGAGGGAGAGGGACAATCTGACCCCACGCTGAGCCCGGAGCCCAACTCAGGGCTCAATCCCACGACCCTGAGATCATGACCTGAGCCAAAATCAAGAGCCCAGCGATCAACTGACTGAGCCATCCAGGTGCCCTATATCGTAATAATATTAATAAATAAAAGCAAACACCTTTTTTTTTTTTTTTAAGATTTTATTTATTTGCGAGAGAGAGAATGAGAGACAGAGAGCATGAGAGGGAGGAGGGTCAGAGGGAGAAGCAGACTCCCTGCTGAGCAGGGAGCCTGATGTGGGACTCGATCCCGGGACTCCAGGATCATGACCTGAGCCGAAGGCAGTCGCTTAACCAACTGAGCCACCCAGGTGCCCAAAAGCAATCACCTTTTAATAAAAGCAATCACCTTTTACTGAGCTTTAACTATGTGCAGAGTCCTTCCTTTACAAATATCTCAGCTTTTGCAACTTTCCTTTGAGGTATTGTCTCTATGTTACAGAGAAACTGAGATTCAGAGAAGTTGAATAACTTCTCTAAGGTGACACAGCAGCAAGTTGAGAGAAGCAACCTTTTTTTTTTAAGTTTTATTTTATTCAAGTAATCTCTACATCCCATGTAGGGTTCGAACTCACAACCCTGAGATCAAGAGTTTCATGCTCTTCTGAGCCAGCCTGAAACCCCTAGAGAAGCATATCTTTTTCAGTAGGCATTTTACCACGTTTCTTTGTACATATCCTTTCTGTACATCCATTTTTAGAAGGTGGATTGTCATTTCTTTGAGGAGAGAGGTGGGTTGTTTTTTTTTTTTCCTATCCTTTTTCACCTAGTGCAGTCCTGTACACAGAAGATACCCAATGAATATTTAATGTTGGTGATACTCATTACTGGGCTAACTTCTACAATGGCATGTTAAGTAAAGTGTAGAGTTTTACATGGACAGTACAAAGAGATCAAAATACAGATCCAGATGATGTATGCCAATAATTTTATTGAATGATATGGAATAAACTCCGGGAAAAATATCATGGGTTTTCTTTCCAAATTCCCAGGTAAATTACAGGGATGTAGACTTAACTGTTCTGGTGCTCTAGTAACAAATGACATGACTTTTGTTTTGTTTTTTTTCTATCTGCTAGCAGTGATTAGAGAGAATTAACTTCATAAAATTGTTGGTTAATTATTTACCTGAGAATGCATCAGCTTTCAAAAAGCGTTTAATTCAGCTTTGAATTTTTTCAGTACTCAGCTAGAGGGCGCCCTTGGACCACCATGAAGATATCAATAACTAAAGAGGCTCTTTAACATTTGATGCTGGCCCACTGAGTAATGGTTACATGACTGAGGGAGAATGTATTGTTTTGGTCAAAATAGATTAGAAGATGCTTTAATGTTGAGTTTAATCTGGTTTTGGCTTTAAATCTTATTGAATTGTTGCATAAATTGACTGCTTTCCAATTTTTTCATTTCTTAAGACACTAGGCAAAAGCTGTAAGGTTCAAACCAACAAGCATTCAATTTGGGAGATTTGTTTGATAAATATAATGTCACATCGAAAATCTGAAGGGTGGAAATCTGATTATAACTTCTATTCATGTCTGATTGCAGTTGACAATAGGTCTGCCAATATGAACATGTATGTGTTAGACGATGTGCTGAGTACTTTTCTGTGCCTTATTCATACAAACAACTCAATGACAAAAGTAGTGCTGTTACCTTCTATTTATTTATTTTTAAAGATTTTATTTATTTATTTGACAGAGAGAGAGAGAGCACAAGTAGGCAGAGTGGCAGGCAGAGGGAGAGGGAGAAGCAGGCTCTCCGCTGAGCAGGGAGCCGGATGTGGGGCTCGATCCCAGGACCCTGGGATCATGACCTGAGCCGAAGGCAGCTGCTCAACCGACTGAGCCACCCAGGCGCCCCTGTTACCTTCTTTTTAAAAAGGAGAAAATTGAAGCCTAGGGAGATTAAGAAGATTTCCACTAATAAGTGACAAAAGTGGAATTCAAATCTGGAGGTGCGAACACCAGAATCCATACTTCTAGCCAGAATGTTATACTAAAATGACAGTTTCCTCTGTTCGTGGCACAAAATACACAATTAATGGTGAAATTGCGTTTTTTTTCCTCTTTAATTTCCCAATTATTATTGAAAGAATACAGCAACATTCAGACTCACCATGGCTTAATTTAGGAATAATTTTGGGAAATTAGACTTTATTTCCTGGTGATGTAGTAATTTAAATTCAGATGCTAAAGACCGATCAACTCCTGGTCAGAGGAACACTCAAGTTTGCCGTGATAGAGTGAAAAGAACACTGAATTGAGAGCCAGGTAATCTGATTTTTAGTATATTTTACTACTAATATCTGAGTGAGCTTCAGAAATGATTTAAGCTCACTAGACCTCTGTCTTTTAAATGAAGGGAATGGACTAGAAAACTTCAGTTCATAAATCTGTGAGTTTTAGATTTTGCATATGGAAATCATTCTCTTTGTTTTGTATCTGCATACTGTACATGTCTTATTCCATTTCTGGGGGCAGTATATTTATATAAATCTAATAATGCCATGCATCTACTTTAGCACTGGTATGAAGTCCCCCTCGCCCCCAAAGGTGCATCTATGGAAGCACCTAGTTCTCAACACTGGTTACTAGAGAATTTGTGGAGGGTATTCGTTCTTTCAACCAGCATTTACTGAACACCTACTATGTGTTAGCTATGAAATTTAGCATTGAACAAACAGACAAAATTCCTAACCTCATGAAGTTTACAATCTTAGGATAATCAGACAAAATAAGTAAAATTTATGGTAATTAGATGATGATAAGTTCTATAGAGAAAAACAAGACAGGTTTAAAAAAGGGACATGGTGGGTATAGGGATGTGAAGATTTGCAGTTATAAATAGGATGGTTAGGGAATCATTCACTGAAAAGTAGTCATTGAACGCAAACCTGAAGGAGGTGAAAGGAATAACCTATGTGGTCTCTAAATAAAGAAACTTCCAACGAAAAGGAAGAGCAATTGCAAAACCCCTGAGGTGGAAGTAGCCTCTTCATCAAAGCGGAAAGTGGCCAGTGTAACTGGAGCCGAGACAGTGAGGGGCAAAGGTAGATAATGGGGAACAGTGTGTATAGGACCCTATTGTCAGGGCATCGACTTTTATGTTGAATGAGATGGAAGTCACTAGAAAGCTTTGAGGAGAGGATCAATTTGGCTGTTGGGTTGAGAATAAACTGCAGAGGGCAAAGGTAAAAAGCAGGGAGAGTAGTTAGGAGCATTTACAATAATCCAGGAAAGTGATATGAGGTCTTAGCCAGGGAGATGGAGATAGTGAGGGAGTGGTTGGATCCCAGAGATCGTGACAGGATTAGCTGATGGTTTGGATAAAGGATATCTGAGACAGGAGTCCCAGGAAGATGCCAGGGTTTTAGCCTGAACAACTAGAAGGATGAAAGTGCCATTAACTGAGGAAAAACAGCCTTTGCCCTTTCATTTCCACTGTTACCACATCACGCATGTGCCACACATCTAAAATGCTGCAATGGCCAACTTTTAGCTTCTTTCTTTTCCAATCCATCCTGTGTGCTATAGGAATTAAGAACAGGTTGTTTAGATTGGGGGAAAAGTGAAGTCTAGATCAATATTCACAAGGTAAACATACTTTGCATTTTTTAAAAATTTAATTTAATTTTATTATGTTATGTTAGTCACCATACAGTACATCATTAGTTTTTGATGTATTGTTCCATGATTCATTGTTTGCCTATAACACCCAGTGCTCCATGCAGTATGCTTTCACTAGCTTTTGGAGATGTATTTTGGAAGAAGTTGCTGTGGCCGATGTCAAAGAGGTTACTTGCATTTATTGTTTTTCCATAATAGGGATTTGCCTTTGTATTGGATTGTTTTTGAAGTTGTTTTTAATGGTTCAATAAACTCAGAGTAGAACTACAAGCAATATAATTATTCCCTCTGCTTTATTAGAAATGCTTTTGTAATCATGTTAATTATATTACCTTATATCTCTTTGTAATTGATATTTATGCCTTCTGTAAGATAACTATAAAGCCTTTTTGTTCACATTTTTATATTCTTGAGGACTTGCCGTAGGATTGCAGGAAGTTTAAAAATTGGCAGTGGAGTGGATTTGTATTATTAGTCTGATCTTAATGTTGTAACATACTGATTATGCAAGATATATAATTAGTTTGCTTTTGTTATTTAACATATGCAGGACTGTAACAACACAAACTGGAGATGATATAAGGTACAAGAAGAAAGCACTTAAATTACTATCTGATCAAAACATTTAATTCTATGTCTCCAAAGGCAAAGGAAACAAAGGCAAAAAGGAACTATTGGGACTTCATCAAGATAAAAAGCTTTTGCACAGGAAAGGAAACAGTCCACAAACCCAAAAGACAACGGACAGAATGGGAGAAGATATTTGCAAATGTCTTATCAGATAAAGGGCTAGTATTCACAATATAAAGACTTATCCAACTCAACATCCAAAGAACAAATAATCCGATCAAGAAATGGGCAGAAGACATGAACAGACACTTCTCCAAAGAAGACATACAAATGGCCAATAGACACATGAAAAAATGCTCCACATCGCTTGCCATCAGGGAAATACAAATCAAAACCACAATGTGACACCACTTCACACCAGTCAGAATGGCTAAAATTAACAAGTCAGGAAATGACAAATGTTGGTGAGGATGCAGAGAAAGGGGAACCCTCCTACACTGTTGGTGGGAATGTAAGCTGGTACAGTCACTCTGGAAAACGGTATGGAGATTCCTCAAAAAATTGAAAATAGAGCTACCCTATGACCCAGCAATTGTACTACTGGGTATTTACCCCAAAGATAGTGATCCGAAGGGGCACCTGCACCCCAATGTTTATAGCAGCAATGTCCACAATAGCCTAACTATGGAAAGAGCCCAGATGTCCATCAACAGATGAATGGATAAAGAAGATGTGGCATGCTACTCAGCCATCAAAAAAAAAAAAAAAAGAAAAGAAATCTTGCCATTTGCAATGACGTGGATGGAACTAGAGGGTATTACGCTAAGTGAAATAAGTCAGTCAGGGAAAGACAATTATATGATCTCACTCATATGTGGAATTTAAGAAACAAAACAGAGGATCATAGGGGAAGAGAGGAAAAAATAAAATAAGACGAAGTCAGAGAGGGAGAGGAACCATAAGAGACTCTTAATCATAGGAAATAAACAGGGTTGCTGGAGGGGAGGGGAGTGGGGAATGGGTAACTGGGTGACGGACATTAAGGAGGGCATGTGATGTAATGAGTATAAGACTGATGAGTCACTGACCTCTATCTCTGAAACCAGTAATACATTATATGTTAATTGAGTTAAAAAAATAAAACATTTAATTCTAATATTAGCAGAATTCTCTAGAAAATTTACAATGCAATGCTTTTTTGTCTCCTTTCCCCTAAAATTTCCCTCAACTTTGGTATGTGTCTGTTGAATAATATTTCTAATTTTGAGAAGTTAGTTTAAAAACAAAGTATTAATTTTTTTTCAATGAGAATTTGAAATCTGAATCTAAAAATCCTTGATGTTATTACTGATCCTCCTTGGCACTGCTGGATAATTTTCTGTTTAGGGATCTTGGCTACAACTACTACATAAATATAGTAATATATAATTTATCTATTTTGATACTGAGTTTCTTTTTTTTAATCAATTTAAAGGCACACAATGGAGGAACCATTTTCACAGGCTAATATATCTTGCCTCTGCTTCAAATTTTGTTTATTTATTTAAAGTTTTATTTAAGTAATCTCTACACCCAACATGGGGCTCAAACTCACCACCCCGATATCAAGAGTTGCAAACTCTTCTGACTGAGCCAGCCGGGTGCCCGGTCTGCTTCAAATTTTAAATTCGCATTTTTTCGCCTTTATGAAGATGGAAGGAGTAGATGAGTTATTTTATAGACAGATTGTAATACTGGGTTGTTATAAGTAGTTTTCTTTGCCACATATCCTTGACTTTCAGGTAAGCAATGAATGAGTTTATTTGGTCACTGCACACCTGATTTTGATAAGTTTTTTTTTTTTTAACTCTTAGAATAGGATTAGCCATCACATATATGTACAGAAATATGATCTAAATTAAACCTTTAACAACTCTCAAATTGGAAAAAATATAATTGTGCGAGACTTATTTTTTCAGACCAATTTTTGTATACGTTGTATTAAACCACCAAGTGTATCTGGATCCTTCACTATGAAGAAACAGGCTTCCTATATCATCTGGAAATGTTTAATGACTATAGCTCTTATTGAGCTCATGAGCCTAAAATTAGAGAATCTGAAGAATCCTAAGAGGTGGAAGGGAATGTAGATATCATCTGGTCGATGTAAGAGTCTCTCTTCATCTCTGACACAAAGTCATTTTTTATCTGCTTAGATATGTCCAAAAAGGAGTGAACTCACTAATTCATAAGAAAGCTATTCCATTTTTGAAGAGTTCAAACTGTTAAAAATCTGTTTCTTATGTTAGAGCCAAGATCTGTCTCCGTCCAATTTTTACCCTTTGGACTTACCCTTTAAAAGCTATATGGGGGGAGGGGTGGTGCCTGGGTGACTCAGTCGGTTAAGTGGCCAGTGGCCAACTTTTGATTTTGGCTTGGGTCATGATCTCAGGTATGGAGCCCCGCGACGGGCAATGCACTCAGTGGAGAGTCTATTTGAGGATTCTGTCTCTCCCTCTCCCTCTGCCCCTGCCCCTGCTCTCTTTCTAAAATAAATAAATAAATCTTAAGAAAATAAAAGCTGTATGAAATACATTTAAAGTATCTTTCATAGGAGCAGCATCTCTTGTGTTCTTCCCACCAGGTCTTTTTTCTAGCTTTAAACATCCTAGCTTTGTTCAATATTCTTTATATGACGTGGTTCTTAAGGCCCTCGTACCTAGCTGACCTGCTCTGAACTTACTGAAACTTACCAGGTATTCATGTAGAGCAATAGTTGCTCAACGTTAGTTGTGCTAGAATAGATGCACTTGGGATGCTTGTTAAAAATGGAGATTCTGACTTCATAGATCTGAGATGCAGCTCTGGAAACGTTACTTTTAATTAGTATCACAAAGTAATTCTGATGCAAAAGCCCTCTGGGCCTCCCTTTGAGAAATGTTGTTTCAAAATGTAGTACTAACATCTCTGAATTCCTTCCCCAAAGGCCTCAGCTGGTGACAAGGACAAATGTGTAAAATGACCCTTACAAGGCAGGGCAGGGTGAAATGAATGTGAGGTCCACAGGCTGTAGAGATGCTGGTCTTTAGGCCAACAGATGGGGCAGGTCTTGGGAGTAGTTTGCCCCGAAGTGGGGGGAATGGTTCTCTGGGTGAAAATGAGTGTGAGGGGAGGGGTGGTAGGATATATACATATGCCATATATATATCTACTGCCAAAAAGAAGTAGCTAAAAAAAAAAAACCCCACAATACTACCTGCTTGTAAGGTAAACAGAACTCTTATGATAAATAACTTTTGGGTTGAAAGAAAAGAAAAATTGAAATTAAAGACAACATGGAGAATATTACATAGCAAAGCCTAAAGCATAGAGAAGTAGTATTAAAAAGAAAACATACAGCTTTAGAAATACTCCTAGGAAACATGAATTATCGATGTTAATCAATGAACCACACACTGAACTCAATAAGCTCGACGAAGAACATCAACAACAAACCTAAAAAAGCAGAGTGATGGAATGAAAAGAGATAATGAAGTCGAAAACAGTCAAAAGTATACTTGATCCATGTACCCAAACTGATTCTTGGAAAGACCAACAAAATAGACAAGCCTTGGGCAAGTCTCATGAAAAGAGAAAACAAGATGGAGAAGGAGAGAAAATACCAAAAAAACAACGTTGGTGATGGAAAGGGGACATATCATGGAAACAGTGAAGACTTAAGAAGCATAAGAATTTACTGTGTACTGCTTTAGAGCAATACATTTTAAAATATAAGCGAAACAGGAATTTCTAGGGAAATACAAGCCAAAAGTAACCCAAAAAAGAGGTCGAGAATCTAATAGCCCAATAACCATAGAAGCAGTTAGAAAGTAAAAGAAATGTATTTAAAATAGGAATAGTGAAAGGAATAGTAAAATAATGTACTTAAAATAGGAATAGTAAAAGAAATGTATTTAAAAGGAAAAGAGCACAATGATGTGAATATACTTTATTGAACTGTACACTTAAAGATGGTTGAGACGGTAAAATTTATTTATGTATTTTTTACCTCAATTGAAAAAATTTTTAAAGGAGAAGAAAAGACCCCAGCTCTCAGTGATTTTATGGGCAGGTTATAGAAAAGCCTTAAGAAAGAGATTAATTCATTTGTTACTTACACATTCCTACAGCATGGACAATAAGGAAAAACTTGCAATATATTTCTATAAGGTTAACTTAACCAAGACAAAGAAAGGAAAAAGTATAGCACAAAAAAGGAAAACTCACATCAATCTCACTTATGAATATAAATATAAAAATTCTAAATCAAATATTAGCAATTTAAATTCAACAGTGGATTAAAAGCAAAATAGATCATAGACATCTGTTAGACCATAAGCTCCATGAGGAATCATTGCTGGTTCCCTAATACTTGCCAAGTGCTTGGCATGTATTAGGTACATACATTTTTGTCGAATTGAATGAGTCGAATTAACCAAATAGGTTTAATTCCAGGAATGCAATGTGCAATGTGTGGTTGACATTAGGGAATATGTTTATTATGCCGGAAGAATAAAGAATAAAAAGATAATCTTATAAGATGTTGAAAATTTTTTTGATAAATCGCAACTCCTATTCCTGATAAAAGTTGTTCTAACCTAGGCAAAGGAAATTGCCTTAATTGAGGGCCATCTGTTAAAAACGTAATTAAACTTCACACTTTATTATGAAACTTTAAAAGCCTTTCCATGAATAAAACAAGAATGGTTGCTATACCTGCTGCTATTTCAATGGTGTTCTAGAGGTCTTAGCCAATGGAAAAAAAAAAAAAAGGAAATAAGTACTAGAAAAGAGGAGACAAAAATCATTATATGCAGGCAATATGATTGCCTATTGAGATTATGTAAGGCAACTAATGAAACACTAATTAGAATTAATAAGAGAGTGCAATAAAATGGCTCCATATAAGATAAACAAATCAACATCTTCTTGTACGCTAGCAATAACTAATGAAAAAATGTAATGGGAAAAAATTCCATTGATAAGAATAACAAGAGTATAAACCCAACAAGAAATATCTGACTTATATTAAAAATACTGTAAATATTTCGTGAAAGACAATTTAAGACATTTTGAATAAATGGTGGTGGAAAATTAACCAAAATATACCAGTGATCACGAAAATCTAAATGAATTAAACTCATGTGTTTGAAAACATCTTATTTTCTTTTACTTTCTTTTTTTTTTAAGATTTTATTTATTTATCAGAGAGAGAAAGACAGCGAGAGAGAAATAGAGAGCACAAGCAGGGGGAGTGGGAGAGGGAGAAGCAGGCCTACCGCGGAGCAGAGAGCCCAATGTGGGGCTAGATCCCAGGACCCTGGGATCATGATCTGAGCTGAAGGCAGATGCTTAACCGACTGAGCCATCCAGCCATCCCTAAAACATGTTATTTTCATATTATATTTATATTTTAAAAATATGTTTAAAAAATATTAACTTATGAGATTTTTAAAAAGAGCTATATGATGTTTACAATACATGTAAAATATAAAGATTTAAAAAAATAACAAAGAATGTTTCAAAGTAAAACTATAGGAAAATCTACAGCAGGCAAACACTAACCGAATTAAAAGCTATACAACTCGGGTGCCTGGGTGGCTCAGTCGTTAAGCGTCTGCCTTCAGCTCAGGTCATGATCCCAGGGTCCTGGGTTCGAGTCCCACATCCGGCTCCCTGCTCAGTGCGAAGCCTGCTTCTCCCTCTCCTGCTCCCCCTGCTTGTGTTCCCTCTCTCGCTGTGTCTCTCTCTCTCTCTGTCAAATACATAAATGAAATCTTAAAAAAAAT